GAATAAAAAACTACAGGTGCTAACAACCATAAACATAACTGATCCACAATGAAGTTTTCAACTATTGTTTTGAAAAGTCTGTTTGAAAAGTATATTGTTTTTTGTAAGTCATATATCATTAATATATTGTATAACAAAAAAAACATTTTCTAAACATTTGAGTTGAGCTCTAATTTTAGTTGTGTTTGAGATTTAGATTAAGTTATAATTCAAAAGAATTTTTGTTAACAAACTTTTGAAAACTTTTCACAAAAACTTTTGTCTAGTATTTAAGGCCTGGACTCTATATTATTGTATTATTGTTATTGTTTTTTGTGTGTGTTTTGTATAACAAGTTTCGGGGCATTCATAGTATAAATGAATTATTTTTTGCTCGTCTATTGAAATGCATGTTTGTGTGACATTTTCATGAGACAAATGACTTTTGAAAACATTAATTTCAATTCAAATTAATTGCTATTCAAGTAATCTAGCGTTTAATCGATGAGACAAATATATTACACTGAATATATTACTATAATATATAGTTATTTAGATTTATTTTTCTCAATACTTATTACACTTTACTTCCTATCGATATATAGTTTACGTAAAAAATATATGCAAATCGCGAATCGATTAACAAATTTTGGTTTTTTTTGTTGAATCAATTATAAAGACTTGAAATTATGGGACAAATAAAATAAAATATAATTTCTTTTACCACTCATTACTCGAAATCGGAAGTAATTTAATGAGAAATATATTAATAATAAAAAAAACATTTTATCTAAAGATACAAATCTATTAGAAATTAATTTTCCGATTCATTGACTCATTGATTATAACTTCAAAACTAAATGCTAGACATACTTATCGACAATTAATTGACTAAAAGTACTGATTAGGGGGCTATTCAATGAGTTCATACTGGTATATACACAAAATATACCCCCTGTGCCGGACACAATCCTATACTACATAGAAATTTGCTTAACTCCCTATCCCTCGCATACATATCACTATCGTCTAACTCCTACATACTTAGTGAATGCGCCCTAACTAACAGCTAAAATATTAGTAATACATTGATTTCATATGAAATATACTTATGTGATCAAGCAGAAAAGTCAATATGGAATGGCGTTCCCTCTGGAGGAGTCGTCGCCACTGAATTCCGAGCAAAGAGTGTCACTCATGGGATCAGTTCCTGGCGAAGGGGTTCAGTCGACACCACCCGCCCCGGCGGACCCCACCAGCGAGTCGCCGGTGACGACCACATCCACGCCCACCACCGATGAGTCTCCGGCGATGACCACCGAAGACAGTGATAAGAAGTCGGTGATGGACGACATGGAGGGCCAAAATGGCGACAATCAGGGGATTATTATCGCCGGCGCTGATGATGAGGACGACAAGAGTGGTAGTGATGGCGAGGAAAAGACTAACCCGAGGCTCGTATTCATCGAGCGATTAATGGGTTTACATCTGACGGCTCCTCTCAATGGCCAGAAAGAGGAGGAAAGGGATGATAACAGTGCGGCCGATGCCGAGCCTCCCATGCCTTTCAGGTATTGGGAAATATCATGCATTTTATGAGGGGATCACTAATTGTCTTAAGATTTAATTATAAGGATTAGTTGTGTAGTGATTGTGAAATGTATAGTGATTATGTTAATTATGATGATTGTAGCAAGGATATTTTTGAGTAGAATTAGTTTTGCAATGTTTTCTATGATAATAGACAATTGAAACAGGGTTATAATTATTAAATGGGAGGTTAATGAGCTGTAGCCTTAACACTAATTAAACGCATTGTTTTGAAGTATATTTTCAAAGTGAAAGCAAACTATAATTATAAGTATTTTTGGGAATTCATTCACAATTCATAGCGTTTTTCATAATTATCACAATAATCACAAACAAACTACACTTAACTCCATAACTCTAATCACAATTTAAACACTAGTTATGACTTTATAAAAAATTATCTCTTAAGACATGATTGCATCGAAAAACTAATGATAAGTTTTATAATCATTGATAGCATGGATGGCAACCGAAATCCTTTCGACAAAGTGAACGCCAAATGGGCCACAAGAATGAGAAAGTTCTCGATCCCACTGATGCAACAGCAGCCCTCCCCTCCTGAGACACCCAACCCCCTGCTCAGAGTGGCTGCCGCAGCCATGATGACCAGGCTGTTAGCCGCGGCCGCCCGCGCCCACCATAACGGTATACATACCACTCGTATATACGACTAATATATCGTAAAATAGGCTAATATTTGATGGAAAATACTAATCAATAGAGTAGTGAGAGTCAGATATAAATTAACAGAATATTCTTACGGAATATTCCTTGAGTTCACAGAATTATAGCTAGAATTTCAGTTAAAAACATATGATTTATGAGTAAATGTATGTCATATTTACGTGCGATGTCTGTCCCCTCCGGCAAAAATCAGGTCCAATGATGGCTAAGGATAAGGACGACGACGCGGAGGACGAGACGGTTCCCATCCTATTGGCGAGTATGCGCTCGGATGAGGCCCGGGAGCCACCCATGTATGGCCGACCGATGCCCAGACCCCCTATGATGCGCCCACCCATGAGGCCGCCCATAAAAATCGTAGGCCAACCCCAGCAGCGTATGGCGTCCATCGCTATCCCGCAGCGCCTATACTCCGCCCAAATGATGGCCCCCCAGAGGTCGTCACCGGTGGTCCAGCAGCGAGCGGCAGCCCTCCCGCCCTACCAGCCGGTGCTCGTGATGCTGGCCCACGTGCCCGTCCCCATGCAAATGGCTGAGTCCCGTATGGGTGGTGGGCCCGACCACGTGAGCCAATACTACGCCCCACAGCAGCATTCAATGCCAATGTACCCACAAGTGCCGTATGCCCTCCCACTCGGGTATGTGTTGTATAGCCATGTATAGCATGTATAGCATGTGTATAGCGCCGGTAGTTATGGTGCGACTATTAATGGTAATATATGTGTCTATAGATACCATCCGATGCAGCGCCAGGTGGTGGAGGTGCCAACCCCTGTCCACATGCCGATCCCTGTGGCATCCTATCATAGACCCGTATACCAGTCCCCATACCAGTCCTCATACCAGTCCAACTACCAGAGCGGCGCCGGGCCTACCGTTCAATACCAGCGCCAGTCGTCGCGACCCGTGATCGAGATCCCCATAGAGATCCCGATCCCGGTGCACGTGCCGGTGCCCGTGTCATACCAGGGTGGGCAGCAACAGTCGCCTACCGGTGCCGATCACGACGCCAGCGCCTCGGAGGCGGCCGAACAGGTGGCGATCGTGTACTACGACCCGGACAACAGTGCCGGCGGTGATGAGGGCCAGGAGGGGGTCGACCACTACGAGCCCCACACGAGTGAGAGTCACGAGAACGCCTACGCTATGCCCCCAAAGGGTTTCCAATTCATGTCGCGACCCCTGCCGGGCATCCAGAGCGCGACTAAACTGAGACTCTGGAGGGAATACGTCGGCGCCAAACACGCCGCCCAACCCGGCGTTAGGTATATCCCGGTGTCGGTGAACGGTGGAGGTGCTGATGAGGGCCAACATACCGGCGCTAATATGGATGGTAGCGATAGTCAGCAGCAATCGGGCGATCAGTCGGAAGGGACGGCTGAGTCTCACTCGCAGCCGGC